CAGATAAACCACCTCCCTTATGTTTCTGAGCCCACTCAACACTGCCTGCATCTACTCCCACCTTTGAATTTCCCCACAACTGTTCTATTAATGGTATTTCTAACTTTTCTCAGCAAAACCTTTCTTCATTAGTCAGGATGGAGTGATGCTTCTCTTTCACCTGTCTACACTGCAGAGGGCTGTGCCTTTTGTGATTTACCCTGTGGCATGAGTCCTTACCCTGCATTTATTAGCATGTTATAAAAATATAACAGCAGCTCCAAAATGTAGCTGTGCGTCAGAATCATTCTATGCAGGTATCGGTGCTGTTCTAGAACTATGGAGTCAGAATTTCTGAAAGATAGTACGGAAATGTAGGATTTCAATAAATCTATAAATGCTGACAGGTTTGGGAGTCAAAGAAGTATGATTTTAGTTTATTTCTATTGTGCTTTTGTATTCCCAATGGGTACCAGCATCCAATTAAGTGCATGGGGTATGTTTAAGTAGGATATTCAATTATCTGCAAACATATCTGATAGTGTTACAATGCAGATTCCCTTATACTAGCCCAGGCAAGTCTACCAAATCTGATTCTGTGGGGTATGGCCAAGGAATTCATATTTAAGCAAGATTCCTATATAAGATATTCCTCTGTATAGAATAGCCACTGCCCTTTTAGGGTCAAACTGAGATCCCTACAGAGACTGGGCAAGTCACTTCAATGAATGAGGGAGACTGAGGGGAAGAATGACTGAAAGAAAACTGATATCCTACATGGAAGGGTAGGCATTTATTTCTTTGCCTGGATAGTTTGTTGCTATTTTGCCACAAAAGAAAATGATACAGTTCTGCCTAAGTTTGAATTTTTCAGAAACTAGAAAAAGGAGAAATTTAATTCCTCATAATTTTAATACACTATCCCCTCTGTTTCTAAGAGTTTCTCCTATGTGCCTGAGGTTTATGGTAATTTGCAATGCCATGTGTCATTAAGACCCTCACCAAGTTACTTCTTATGATAGATTATATAGTATAACTGAATTGCAGGGTACAAGGTCCTATTGGTCATCCAAGCCATTCCTATCATTTAATATTTCAAATCTCCTCCAAGAACTTATGATGCCAAACCACTTCATCTCTCTTCCAGATTGGCCTGCACTGCACATGTCCAAATATATTTTGGCAACCTCCATTAGAGTATCCTACCAATACCCCAGTGTGAAATGTTTCCAAATAAAATTTGTGTTCTTCTATTCCCCTTTCTTCAAGTGGTTTCCTAGTTGTCTCAGTAACATCAATACTGGCCACTGAAACCAGAAAAATGGTGTCTACCTTAATCCTCTGCCTTTCTTTTTAATCCCTACAATGAATCATTTACCAAGTTTTTGCTAAGTCTGCCACCAAAAGTGTAAAACCTGCAAGCCACCGCCTATTCTAGACAAGCTTTTCACATCCTTTTCACTGAGAAAATAACATCACACTGTCTTGTGACCAGTCAACTTGATTTTACAAAGAAAATCTTGCTCTTTCTCTATGGGATAAGGCCCAGCTAACCTTTTCTCTGGCTGAGGGTTGAGATGAATTGGAAAATTATAATTTATTAAAAATGGAATTCACATATTAGAACAGAGAAAATTTGCATGAAGTTCAGAATCATGGAACTAGCCTTGGGAGTAGGGAAAGAGTCAGCTTTAGCAATGGATGTGGTAGGCTCCCCTTCGTGCCAAAAGGTAAATGGAGAGAGAACAGCAAGTAGATAAATGTGTCCAGGGTCACACTCTCTACGTTCTCTGTTCAAGAATTGTTTTTACAGGCATCTCTTGTGGTCTACATGTTGACCTTGAGAGAATCTCATTAAAAAAAATCCCAGCAGCAATTGAGAACAGCTGGGATCACCGGCAGCACTTCGAGTGCTCAAAAATCCTCAGCCAGTTCTCTTCCAATGTCAAAACAATTACAGGTGAGACTATGAAGAATCAACAATCATTTACAATAAGCACAGAACCTTAGTTGGAAACTTTCAGTTCTTTCACAAAGTACATCAAAAAGTACATCACAAAGTATATCCACAGATTTCATCATTTTGACATCTTTAAAGAAAAGTTGTACAACTGAACAAGAAAATTATACTAAAGTAATTATTAAGCTTCTCAAATATCTAGTAAAATCAAATTACCTTCATAATACTACAAAAAGAGGGAACACATTTATTAAACACAACAAAAAAGGACTTTCAGGGTCAAAACTGAGCACTTTCTTTAAAAATAAAACATGTCTAAGAACATTTCAGGAAATATAAAACAAAAATTTTTATCCCATTTTCAACAGTTTTTTTTTTAATGTCACTAATAAGGAAGAGAAAAACAAACAAACAAACAAAAACAAGAGAGCAAAGATCTAACCGGTAACTAAAGAAACAAAGAAAATCTTGCCTATTAGCTATCATTTCACTCAAAGGATTGTGAAATGCAAAAGGAAATGCATCAATTTATTTGTGAGCAGTCAAGTGAAAAGGTAGACTGTTTACCTCTCAGTATTTTTCCAGATATCTAGTTTGGATGAAGAATAAAGAAACTCTTTAAGATATCAAATCTAGAAAAGATACTACCTAGAAATAAGTGATAGCAATTCACAGAGACACTAAAAATAAGAATCAATTCGCAGTATCTGTACTCAGCAACACAGAAGTATCAATGCACCTTCCAAATCAATCGTATCACTTCACCAAGTCCACATGGATCTTCTTTGTAGTACAATTTTTCACAAACTGTGGAATATTTTTGACAGGAAAAAAAGTCTAGGTCACCTAGGCCATTGGTTCTTGTAGCTCTCTGGTTGGGGGAGATCTAAGCATGTATGAAGATGAGTGAAAGTACTCTATGCTGCTAGCACTTTCACTGCTGGTCTTTGTGCCTAACTGCAAAAGCTTTTAGCACATTTATCAGAAGCCAGACAATCCCAGCTCTTTTGATATTAGATCTCAGGGTGCAGCTTTCAAAACCATCCTTTGTTTCACTCTTCCCGTATTGGTAAAATGCACCCAGCAGGTAGTCTATAGACTGAATTTCAAACAAGAGCTGTTAATATGCCCAAAACTGTTGCTGCAAGGTGGGGGGGATCACATTAATTGAATCCTGGCCCATTCTTACTCATAATGCCACAATTATATTTTCTATATAGTAAAATTATATGAAACAATCTGTAAAGCCATGGGAAATCTTCAGGCAGCTAAACTACAAGTTTTAAACCACGCAATTATTGTTATTAAAAACAATTATTTTCTCACAACAATTCTACAACAAAAACCATACAGAGTATATGTCAACAACTAAAAAATAATGTTATAAGCTTTTCTTGCATTTACTCTGGTCTTCCTGTTGGAATGCTGATAATCATTAGCAATACTGTTTTATCTGTAGATACCTAAAGTTCTAATATTTGTAATTTTCTTTGAAATACTTTTTCGCAAAGAAACAGGGAATGCAATTAATATGAGAAAAAGAAAAAATGGAAACACAGTCTTTGCAGATAGAGAGGGGTGGAGGGTTTGAAGGGAAGGCTGAGGAATGAGGAAAAAATAAGAACCAAGATGGATTATGTAAAGGTCCAAATTTCCAATGATGAATGTCACTATATTGTATACCTTAAATGTACCAATAACATTAATTAAAAAATATTTTTCCCAGCACGAACAAGGGGAAAAAATGAAAACCAAGACCTGTCATGTAAAGGTACAAGATCCCAATGATGAATGTAACTGTACTGTATAGCTAAAATGTACCAATAAACTCAATTAAAAAAAAATTTTCCCAAATGTTTTAGGGAAGGCCACTGTTATTCCAATTTTACAGATGTCATATGAAGAGAGTAACAGTGCACACCCTCACAGGATTGCTTCAGGGACTCATTACATCATCCACAGTAAGGACACAGAGTTTATGGCACATTACTGAGTGCTCAAAAGAAGTTAGCTATTATTTATATGTAAAATCATCAGCAATTATATTAAGGTTATCAGAAGTCCATTTTAAGAATATCAGTTTTGTTTATGACCAGGTTTTCAATAGACCAGGACAGTTCTTCAAAAAAATGAAAATTCCACCATTTACATATGCTGATCCATTTGCCTAAAATGCTCCTTCCCGCCAGCTCCTGACTGATCCTCATGCTCCACCCTACCTGGATAATTCTGCTTCTGTAGATTTTGGTTTAGACGTTTTTCCAGGGGCAAGCAGCCCCTGGAAGCGCCCATGTCTACATTATATTATATACCTATTACAATACTCTTTCTACATGCTCCAATCCATATCATAATAGTGTCCTTCTGTCCTCATTCCCATAACACTTTGTGAAGGCAAGGATCATGTCTAGCTTTCTATATTACAGGTAAGCACAATGGCAGAATATAATGTGTGCTCAATGACTATACATTGTATAATATCCAGTATCTGAGATCGGCATGATGCAGGTTGGAAGAACAGATGTGATATAGTGAGAATAACTACTACCAACCCAAAAGAGAGGAAAGAAAGGGAAGGAGGGAAAAAGGCAGGCAAGCAGGGAGAGAGGGAGGGAGAGAGGGACGAAAGGAGAGAAACAGAAAGAAACAGAGAGAGAGAATATGAATATGAATAAATGAATATTAGGTTACCAGGACAGCTGAGGATGAGGATAGTGAAGTGACAGGATATGGCATTCTAAGAGTGCTGAGCAGCAGAGAGGTGGGCCAGTCATCTCTGGAGAAAATCAGGTTCCATCTGGTTAAAGTAACCAGTGCCACACCCTAGAAGAGCCACACCTAGATTCACTGATATTTGGATATCTAGGGCCCTGTAGCAGGTAAAGGAATGAGAGCCTATGTTCATCCACCAGAGAGTGGGACTTAGAAACCAGCACAGCTCTCAGGTCCCAGTCTAAGCTTTTCAACCAGAGTATCTGACAACCAAAGGCAAGTCGGGGGCCTTAAGTCATTAGGCAGAATGAAAAAGTCCTGTGTGACCCATGGACCCCCAGAGACTTACCAGACAGTTGGGATGTGTTGCACATGTCTGGCCCAGCACTGAATTGCAGTGCTGGGGAAGAAACTTTGATACTTTGGGTACAGCTGATGGTAAATGAATTGGAACGTTCTGATTTGTTACAGCAGCTGCATCATAGGAAGGGATGACTTTAGAATAATATGTGACAGCATGGAAGGAATTAAGAGAGAGAGCTGCACTGGGAATTCGAGTTTTATACAGATCATCAACTGCACTCTCTGAAGTTGAGCTTGACTGTCCTTTAATAAGAAAGAAAACAAATATCTATCAATGGTGTATACACAATTCTGTACTTCTAGTCTACTGTATTTGAAATACATTATCCTCTGTTTCATTTCCTCACATTACAGACTTCTACTACATTACACTCAAACAGATGCTGATAGAAAAACAAAATGAATATTACAGAAGTGACATTTAATGCAATATACACATTAAAAATCAGCGTTCATGTGTCATGAAAAGAGATTTTAGAGAAGCAGAGGATCTCTGTGCCTTTGGGGTATATTTGAGTGTTTGGCTTCATCATAATCAAAACTGGCCATTCCTATGAAGCAAAGAAGAATGTGGGAAAGAACAATGCCATTTGCCATGAATAGTTTGGTTGATTTTTCCATTACTGAAGTACACTATCTCATTATATATCTATATTTGCATAGATATTTACATATCTATACATATCTTTATATCTATATTTTGAACAGTAATTAGAAGACAAAGTTTTAAAAATTTACAATCTCAACAATGTAATTGCAACACTGAATATTTTCTTTGGGGCATTAATAACCAAAGTGAAATAATTTAATTTTACACCTACTTTAAATACAAATGTATGTGGAATATTTGTGAAAAACAATTAGAGCAAATATACACAGAAATTTATGGAAAATAACAGAACAGGAAAGCTAATGAAGTATAAACACGGCCACGTTACAGATCAAGCACCGTTATCTGAGGGTGCTCTATATCTGTGGGAATCCTTGGGATCTTGCAGAGAGAAAGCTCACTTAACTTCTATAGCCTTCAATTTCCTTATGGAAATTATGGTCTGGAAAATATGTTTATATTTTCCGTTCTCTAACAGATGAATCCTTCACCTCCAGAAATAAAACTCAAGAAGTCCAAATTACAGAAAGCTCTATACTAGAAAAGTATGTTCTATCACATGATTTTTAAAAATCTCTGTCCCCAAACTGGAAAGCTTAATATAGCAACTGAAAGATGGCTAAGAATATTGTTCTATCAATAATTTGTTAAACTAATAGTGGTGAGGATGATATAAGAACACATTAAAATTCATATGGCACAAAGTTAAGTTTAAAAAATCAAGAGACAAAATGGGATATTCACTATGATTGCTACTACTTTATACCTAGAAAAAAATCTTGAAAGAAATACATACAAAATAAAGTGATAGAATAGCAAAAGAGTCATTGATCTTCCATGTCTTCTCTGGTTTGAATATATCATAAGTCAAAGGTCTAAGTATATTTGTGTCCTCCCAAGAGTGGGGTGATGCAATTCCATGAGACCCAGGTCATAGGAAGGCCTGAATCACTGCCATAAAAACAGTGCTTCAGCTTTTCTGCAGAATACCGACAGTAATGTATGCATACAAAATAACACTGACGGGCATATGCCTGTGGCCTGACATCAATCTGATTTAATCTGGGCTGATCTAATGATTTCATGTCACATTCAGCCACAGCTACTTTAACAGAGGCTCATGGCAACTTTCTTTCCCTATTTCCTCCCCTCTCCTTTAGGTGGAAGAAAAATCTGGATTGATGAACAAAGTCTTAGGCTTACTTGGTTGTATGAACAAGGAGGCTGCATTCTATTGTTGGCCCTTTCTCTTTTGACTTAAGATACCCTAGAAACTTCATGTGTTTCCATGGCTCCCACTATAATCCATACACGTGTGTGGTACCTCTAGTATGACACTTAAAATATTAGTGAATCAGAATGAGAAACTACAGACTAAAAGGATGCACATTGAGGCTATACTCGTAAGTGAAATAAATAGGACACACGTGTAAATACTGAATAGTTTCGCTGGTGTGAGAAACTGAAAGTGTAAATGAGGATCAAAATGTTTAACAGTTAATGTGAAATAGGAAGAAAAGGTCCAAAGGGGGAAGTGAAGTGGGAAGGAGAAGGAGAAAGGAAAAAATATGATAAGGAAAAAATGGAAACAAAGTCTTTGTAAATAGGGAAGGGTGGAGGTGTTGAAGGGAGGGCAGGGAAATGGGGAAAAAATAAGAACCAAGATATATCATGTAAAGGTACAATTTCCCAATGATGAATGTCATATTATATACTTAAAATATACCAATAAACTTAATGAATAAAAAAATACTAGTGAACTACAGTTTGCTTTTGCTATGCTCTCTGAAACTTATTTGTGAACTCTATAATGGAGTTGACATCCTAATGGGGGAAGAGACAATAACTAAAACACACAAAGAATATTAGCAGGTAGTAGGGCTCAGAAGACAACTCTAGTAAAGAAAGTGGATAAAAAAATATCTTGCACTGTGTATAGAGAGGAGGAGTGTGCAGTTTTACCTAGGTGGTTGAGAAGGACTCACTGAGAAGTTAACATTGCAAAGATGTCAATACACTTTGACTTTTTTATTTGACCCAAAGAGGCCCTAGTAGATCTCAGGTCTTCTCAGTATTTTAAAAGCTTGAAATCTAAGATGAACCCCAAGGTAGATAATTAGATTTCTGGTTCTGTGTAGTACAAATGACACCAAAATATTTAAGCAAAGATTTGAAAAAGATAAATAAATTAACAAATTAAATGCTCAGTGTACAATAAGTTCTAAATCAATGTGAATAAATTAATTTTTCTGTATCTGTGGGATCCTCATCTGAGATTCCCATGGATTAAAAAAAAAAGACTTTTTTGAAAACCTGCACCTACACCGTGCAGATTATTTTCTTGTCATCACTTCCTAAACAATGTAAGGTAACAACTACTTACACAACATTTACATTGTATCAGGTATAAGTAAGTTAGAGGTGATTTAAAGTGTATGGAAGGATGGGTATAGGTAATAGGCAAATGCTACATCATTTTACTTAAGAGACTTAAACATCCACAGATTTTGTTATTCTCAGTGGATTCCAGGACAAATCTCCCATGGATACTGAGGGACAACTGTACATCCTTTTCCTTTCGGTTCTATTTTATAGGTAAATAGACAGATACACCAATGTGCTTATCATCTACTAGCAAGATGATGCTTCCTGAATTAAGGTCAACTGAGCCCAACTTTGGGATAACACCATTTAAATGCTCATGGCTACCTTAATGTACTTCAAGCTGCAAACACAAAAGGACTCCTCATGTAATCTCCCAGCTACACTCCATCTCCTACTTATGGCAGCACATTCACAGGAGTACAGGGGTGCGATCGGGCATCCATAAAGGCCCCAGCACCCACAAACAACACAAGCATAGGCAGGTCTCACCTCTCACAGGTTCGTCCAAGGAGGCCCCTGCAGTAGGAAGGGAATACACATTCAAGCGCTTATTAGCCAGGAACTGAATCCCTCTCACAGGTGAGTAAGTGCTTGCCAACGCATTGTTTTCCCTTGAAAAGACCAAAAACAAACAACAAAACATATACACCAAAAACATTTTGCACATTTCTCCAGAAAGATAATATATTACTGAGTTCAAATGCTTTTCTAATCATTCAAGTTCTAAAAATCCTTGACAGAGCCTCAACTATAGATTATTTTAAACATGAGAACAAAAAGTTGGAAGAGACCATGGTCACTCCTTAGGAATGACTGGCTTTTCCAACAGTTTCTGTTTACATATTCTACCAAACCTAAGCAATCATTTGACATGCTACATTTCATATTAGTGAGTTTCTTTAAGGACTGCTAAGTGAAACTAGGACCCTAGTAGACCTCTTGGATAGATGAGTACTAGAATCTATAATGTCCCTGGTGGATTACCACAGCAGTAACAGCTACTACAGTCAGGAGAGGCAAAAGCTCCACTGTAAGATCAGGAATGACAAAAAGAAAAAAAAAAGTGAGTCAAATAATAAAAGGACCACCATAAGCCTGAATATATTAATTATATCTCCTTTTCACTGTAATGAAATTATATATACCAGCAATGGGAAAAGTTCACTGATCCTTAACACCTGAGCTTTCACGTAGACAGGTTCAGTTCCCGTCTACACATATTGTATCTCTATGGGAGGAATATAACAAGCAGTCTCTGGATTCACTAGAGCCCTGATCGTACCTTTCCTCCTTGACTGTGCATGGGAGGGATAGCTGGATGGGCATTTGTTTCTTAGAAAACCTGGTATTACTCTGAAGGGCTTCTGTAATCTAAAAAATATAGATATAGGTAGGTAAAAATAGATTTAGGTAGCTATAGACATTTTCTCCCATATATGAAGATATACATTTCCAGTTAAAAAGAAACAAAATTATAACATAAACCCATTACCCATAAGGATGAAATTCAAAGCTTTGAGAGTTCACTACCTGTCTCATGGCAGCTGGAGGGATTTTCTCCCGGACATACTTCACATAATCAACTGTTGCCTCAAGAATTGAAGCTGAGTCATTCTTTCTCCCCTTGATATACGGTAACAGAATGCGCAGCTGCTCACAGCAATACTTGATTCGTTCTCTGATTGTAATAAAGAAGGAAGAGTCAGTCTCATTTATTCGCGTGAAAAAAGACAATCCTTCCCTGAGTAAAGAAGCTTTTGTTTGTAAAAGAACTGCCCACACCTTTTCCCATCTAGTCTGTTTCAGGGAAAGACTGCATCCCCAGAAGCCAGCAGCCCTCACAGATCCTAGAATCACAAATTCCCAGGCCACCCACTAATATGGTGCACAAGATACAAAGTTTGTGTGGATACAAGCCCAGCTCCTTCAGCCCAGACCTGCCACAGTGCACAAGCGCCCACAACTGCGGAAGAATACACACACCTTCCATGTCTGTGCAAACCAACAGACATACTACCCTCTGAGCAAAAAAATCACACACACACACACACACACACACACACCCGCAAGAAATAGGATCTTCATGTCACTTGGACTGGGCCACATTTCCAACAACAGATTAGTGAGCATCTCAATATATGTGATTATGTGGCTTGAGCCAAAAGAATGAGAATATTGCTTCCTTTATGAGGTAGGTATGGACAGAACAAATAAATTAATATAACAGAAAGAATATCCAGACCAGTGTCCAGAGGAAATTAAACCTTTCATGTGACTGGTCGTCTAAAAGAAATTTATTGTAGAAGTAGATTTGATTAAGCTTTTAGAGCTTTCATCATCCATGTTTTCATTTAAGAAACATTATTGATCACCTATTATGTGCTACAAAATCACTGCTCATTAGCTGGGATCTTATACAAGATACTTAATTCTCTGCACCTTGAAATGACAGAGAAATCGTAAAAATCAAGTTTGATATATATTCAGTGATAAATATTCTAGGTAAGTGATATTTTTATTGGGTTTTGGGATCTCTGGGGATTCTGTAGAGGTGTTTCAGGAACTATTCTGAAAAGAAAAGGATGGAAGAGTCAACAATTTGACAATAAGTATGATGGGCTTTGAAAGTTTTCATATCCTTTAACAACGTAATTTCCATTTGCAAAGATTTACCCTAAAGAGACATTCTAAAACACAGAGAAAACTTCATATAAAGATATCCATTATAGCTGTACATAAGTAAAATATATAAAACACACAACACAGGAGGATGCCCTAAGTAAACAAGGGTATATTTGTTCAGTAAAATATCATCTGGCCATGGAAGTGATATGTTATAAACCTTATTGGGAGAAAAAGGGGTATGAGGCAGCATATAAAATAATTAATCTTGGCATTAAGGCAAAAATGAAATGGAAAAAGAGTGAAATTAAAACCATCTCGTAATATTTATTCCTGGGTGTCTGCGTATGGACATTTTGTCATTCTATCATCTATATTTTCCAAATATTTTGCCATACACATATCATATTCATAATGAAAAATGCTATTAAACATTTTTCAACATTAGAGAAATATTCAAACATACAAAAGAGTTGAATTATATTGTGAATATCTATAAGCCATTCAGTCTATAATTAACATTTGATATATTTGCTTTATCATATATGTATCTTCCTACTGTTGATCCATCAACCTACTTTAATATATTGAAATACCTAAAAGTAAGTTGTAGACTACAACCTAAATTTATCAGCAGGGCTCAAATTATTTAATCTTCAGGTAAAAGTTATATGAGATAAAATGCACAAATCTTAAGGGTTCCTTCCATTCTATGAGTCTGGACAAGCAACTGTGTAACAGAAACCCTAATCAGCATTGTCAAAACCTAGAATGTTCCTTATATTCCTTGCCAGTCATCACTATCCATAGCCCCATAAGAGATTTTCTCAACCCCCATTACTTTGCCTACTCTCAAAGAGCCCATAAATTATTTCTTATAACATGTAATAAGGCTTCCTTCACTCAATATGTTTTTAAGATTTCTCTATTTCACTGCCTACACCAGAAACTTCTTTGTATTCCATGGTATAAATATATCATAGCTTATTTATCTATTCCCTTATTGACAACCAGGCTGTTCTTAGCTTTTGTTCATTATAAATAAAGCTACTAGATCATTCCATATATCTTTTTGTGAACGTGTTATTTCTCTTGGCTAAATATCTACAAATAAAAATAATGGATAATTTTATATGTCTATAAGAACTGTCAGAATTTTTATCAAGTTTTCTACTCCGTCTTCCACACTTAACCAACAATATCTGAAAGCTCTTGTTTCAAAAAGTTTGGTTGTTTTGGTGCTGAGATAAACCAATAGCCTTTGCTCTAAGCTATATGCCCATCCACTTTTTTTGGACAAAATTGCCCAGGCTGAACTCATATTTTTGATCCCTTTTCTTCAACCTGTGTCACCATGTCTGGGTTATTTTCAAGTATTCTGACAATATTTAATATTGTCAGTAGTTTTAATTTTGGTCTTTCTGATCATTTGGTAGCATCTCCTTATACTTTAATTTGTATTTCTTTCACAACTAAGAAATAGTAAGATGTGCAACCTTTTCCTTTGCTTATCGAATATTTGTGTATCTTCTTTTGTGAAGTATCTGTTCAAGTATTTTATTTAGATTTTAATTGGATTACAGGAGGTTTTAAAAATTCATTAAGAGTTTTAGGGCTTTTTGCATGTTCTGAATACCAGTATTTGTCAGGTGTCTGTTCAGGATTTTTTTTTGAAATGTGTCAAGACTTTATACACAACTGTGCCATCTACAAGTAAAGGGGTTTTCTTTCTAATCTGCATGTCTATTTTCCTTGCCTAATTGCAAAGACTAAGACTGTTTACTTAGGGAGAAACAGAAATTTTAAATAATGGACACCCTTACCTTGTTTCTGATCTAAGAAACAAACCGTCCAAATTAATCATTAAGTACAATATTAGCCACAGATCAAAGATATTTTCTTCTACAACTATCTGTGGAAAGGTTTTTTGCTCTGTTTTCTTTTTTCTTATCAAGAAAGGATATTGAATGTTGTTAAGTTTTAGGTGGTAGATAAGCACTCTGCCACTGAGCTACACCCTCAGCCCAAGTAATTTTTTTCTGAATCTAACAATGTTTTTTCTGAACTATGCTGATTTTTTAATGTTATACCAGTTTTGTTTTTGTAAGATAAACTTAACATGATCATGATACATTTTATCTTTCTATTGTTCTTGATTCGATTTACTAAAATTATGTTAATATTTTTGCAACATTATGAAAACTTTTGGTGGTATATTTTTCCTTTAATGTCTGTCAGATTTAGGTTTATGTTGGTCTCTAGAAATATGTTAGGAAATATTCCTTCCTCCATCTTCTTTAAGAATCTGCTCCAGATTGGAAAAACTTCTATAAAACCTTGATGGAATTCATTGATAAACCAATCACTATGGAGCTTTCTCTTTGGTAAGGTGTTTGACAACATGTTCAGCTTCTTTAATATGTAAGGCTACTCAGATTTCTGTTATTTCTGTTACCAGTTTTGATAAACTGTTTTTCAAGAATTTGTCCATCTCATCTAAGGTGGTGAATTTATTGGCATAAAATTATTCAAATATGCTCTTAATGCATTAAAATATTTATAGGATCTATAATGACAATCTTTCATTCGTGATATTGATAAATTGTGTTCATTCTTTGTCCAACCCCCTTACCTTCACTTCAGAGTTACTTAATATGGTAACTTATATTACTAATTTTTAGATCTTTTGTCTTTTCTACTATAAGGTTTTAGTGTTTCCCTTAACTTTGCTTTAGCCTGATTCCAGAAAGTTTTATATATTCTGCTTTTTCACTTTGAAAAGTCTTCTAATTTTCCTTATGATCTTTTTCTTTTACTTATAATTATTCAGAACTCCATTTTTATGGGGCTTTTTGGACTGGTGACCAAACTCAGGACCTTGAGCTTGCGAGGCAGGTGGTGGAACCAATGAGCTAAATCCCTGGCCCTAGAATTCTATTTTTAACTTCCAAATATTTCATGTTTCTCTTTAAATTTTTTTAACTTCCAAATATTTCATGTTTCATTAAAATCTTATCAATTTATAATTTAATTTCATTATGGTAAGGAAATACAGTCTTCATTAATTCATTCTTTTAAATGTCTTGAGATCTCACATATCCCAGCAGTCTGTGTAAGTGAATGTCCCACATGCCCTTGAAAGAAAGGAATATTCTGCTGCAGTTGTGCCATGTGGTGTCCCATCAACATCCATTAGATCAAGAAAGGTAATAATGTTCACATCTTCTAATTTGTTGTTTTCTAGTTGCATAAACTGCTGACATAGTGGTATTAAATCTCCAACAATACTTGTAAAATTATCTGTCCCTTTAATTCTTAAATGCCTGATTTAAGTGTTACAATCACATAATGTTTGTCATTTGGATCCAGCACTTGGGGGTATAAAGCAGGAGGATCATTACAGTCCAGGAGTTTGAGACCATCCTGGGTAACAACAGGGTGAGACCGTCTCTAAAAAATAAAAAGTCACTGACATTTTTTACCACTACGGAATGCCTCTCTTTACCTCAAATGATATTATTTGTCTTCAAGTCTACTTTATTTGATAGTAACATAGCCAATGTGGCCTTATACTTTCTGTTTTTATGGTATATATTTTTCTATGAATTTATATTATTATGTCTTTATATTTAAAGCTTACCTCTTACAGACAGCAGATAGGTGGGTCTTGGTTTTTGCTTGTTTTTATCTATCCTGACAATCTCTAACTATATATTAGACATATAGCTGAATAAAGGTCTGTTTTAATAGTTTCCCTTTATTCTCTGGCTTTTCAGTTTTCTTCTGTTTGAATACTTTTTAAATATTCAATTTCAATTTGTCTTTTGGCTTCATAGTCATGTCTCTTGCATATCTCATTAGGATTGTTCTAGGGATTAAAATATGCATCTAAACTTTTTACAGTCTATTTAGAGTTAACATTTTATGACATCACATAATATATACAAATTCTATAGTACATTTATCCCACTCATATTTCATGCCAGTTGTCATATATACCTACAAACATTTGCAAATCTTATGCAATATATCTATAGTACAAATCCCACAGTACAA